AGACTTAAATGTAAGTCATTAAACCATAAAAATCCTAGAAGAAAAAACAGGCAGTAAACTCTCAGACATCTCTCAGAGCAATATTTTTGCCAATATATCTCCAAGGGCAAAGGAAACACAGGGAAAAATAAACAAATGGGACTACATCAAACTATAAAGCTTCTGTACAGCAAAAAAATCCGTCAACAAAACAAAAAGGGAACCTACGGTATGGGAGAACACATTTGCCAATGATTCATCTGATTAGGGTTTAATCTCCAATATATATAAATAACTTACACAACTCAACACCAGGAAGACAAAAATCCAATTTAAAAATGGGCTAAGGGCACTAGCCAGTTTGGTTCAGTGGATAGTGACAGCCCGCAGACTGAAGGGTCCAGGTTTCAATTCAGTTCTCAGGCAAGTACCTATGTTGCAGGCTCCATCCCAGGCCCCAGTCATGGCGCATGCAGGAAGCAACCAATCAATGTGTCACTCTCACATTGATGTTTCTCTCTCTGTGTGTCTCTCACCTTCCCTTCCACTCTCTCTAAAAATCAGTGGAAGAATATCCTGGGGTGAGGATTAACAAAATCAAAAAATGGGCAAAGGAACTGAATAGACACTTGTCCAAAGAGGACATACAGATGGGCAGGATACATATGAAAAAATGTTCAAAGTCACTAATCGCCAGAGAAAGGCAAATTAAAACTACAAAGAAGTATTACCTCACCTCTGCCAGAATGGCTACTATTAATAAATCAACATATAATAAGTGCTGGTGAGGATGGAGAATAAAGGGAATCCTAGTACACTGCTGGTGGGAATGCAGACACTGCTGGTGGGAATGCAGACTGAGCAGGTACTGTGGAAATCAGTATAGAGGTTCCTCAAAAAAATTAAAAAATGGAACTTCCTTTTGACACAGTGATCCCTCTTATGGGTATACATCCTAAGCATCCTGAAATAGCAATCAGAATGCATAAATGCACTCCTATGTTCACAGTAGCATTATTTACAAGATCTGGAAACAGCCCAAGTGCCCATCAGTAGATTAGTGAATAAAAGACTGTGGTATACTCATACAATGAACTACTACAATGGTTGTAAAAGAAAGGAACTCTTACCCTTTGTGACAACATGGATGGACCTGAAGATTATTATGCTAAGGGAAATAAGCGAGTCAGAGAAAGACAAATAACAGATGATTTCACTTAAAAGAGGAATCTAATGAACAAAATAAACTGATGAACAAAATAGAACCAGAATCATGGATACATGGGACAGACTGACAAATGTCACAGGAGAGTAGGGTACGGAGTACTAGGTAAAGGAAGGTGAAGGGATTAGCTAAAGAACATATATGCATAGCCCCTGGACACAGACAATAGTGTAGGGAGGGTTAAGTGGGATATGGGGTGGGACAGGAGCTGGGTAGAAGTGGACAAAGGGAGGGGGGCGGGGAATGTAGGACATCTGCGATAGTGTCAATAATAAAAATTTTAAATTAAAAAAATCAGCAATGTCTTTACCACTGAAAACAAATGAGAGCAAGAAAGGAATTTTTTCTTTGACATGTTATCAAATGTTCCTTCTTGCCACTATAGTAGCATTCACTTTCTTTCAGGGTCAACAAAACTCAGAAATCCTTGAAAAACATGAAAATCCTTAATCTTTCAGAAGGCGGGGGGAGGGAGAGAGAGGGAGAGAGAGGTAGTCTTACTAAAAAAATTATATCTTAAAAAGTAAAATAGTTGACAAAGACCAAAGACTATGGAAAAAAAAGAAATAGTTTTCCACCCCAAGATTATATCCTATCACTTAGTTTTCTGTCTATACCCATATGTATATACATGTACTTTTCTTTAAAAACCTAATTTTTTTAAATCTAATTTGTTTCTGAAATTAAGGCTAGTAAATGACTATGGATTCATAAAAAATTCAAGTCAAGTAGAATGCTTAGCATAATATCTACAATTACCTCTAAAATGTATAATTTTAAAATTTGTAATTTTCAAATTTCACAGATGATTTATAAGTGAGAAAAAAAGTGTCTTAGAATCTGTGAAATATGATGATGAAAAAAGAGAACAGTTTGGAAAGATCTACCTTTGAATTCTAATCTACTACCTCATAACAGCTGTGTGATCTTAATCTTTCTGAGTCTTAACTATCTCTTAACCATTAACTGGAAGCTTAGGATAATATATATTAAGTTTCTAATACATACTGTAAACTCAATGAACACAAGTTATATTCCTGTAAGATACATGTAGGAACACTTAATTACTTTCCTTCAAGAATAAAACTAAGTGTCACTGCTTGGTTATCCAACATATTTATAAAACATCTATATTTCTTAAAAATATGTCATTATCTACCAAAATTATCATAATTTACCATAATCACCTAATGCAGACTTTACTAACTATTAAAACACAATGTCACACTTGTTAGATCTGACTGTTCCTCTTGGAGATAAAGATATGCTCTATGTTTAATCATTCTTCATTTTAAAAGCATTTTTTCCACAAAATATTTTTTTCAAGATGAATAATTTCCATTTCTAAATGGTCAAATTGTTAATAAGTGATGTTTTTCCAAGTCTAGATTACAAATCAGATTATGATAAGATTTTCACATCATTGTTTTTATACTATCATGTGTTTTATCTCCTATTTTTAAAATCTCTTTATCATTTATTAATTACAAAGAAATATGGGTTTATCATTAAAAATTTGAATATACAAAAATATAAAAGGATTAAGCACAAAATAAAAACTAGAGATAAGTACTGGTAGTATTTTGATATATTTTTTCTAGTATTTTTTTTTTTAATAAAGATGTACATGCACATATATTCAGCATACAAATGTAATATTTGTGTAATATAAGTGCTTTTGTTTACTGCTGCTTTCCCTTAGAACGTATCATGGGTGTTTTTCCATGTCATTAAATTTCCCTCAAAAATATGATTTTAATGGCTTGCATAGTTTTCCTCTTGAATAAATATACTATGATTTATTAGGCTGAAACTCTATTGTTAAATATTTACAATGTTGCCAAATTTCCTGTAGGAATATCTGATGAGCACATGAGATTAAATACTTCTGAGCAAGACCAATGGATTATATGGCACCAATATTTATGAGAGTTTTAACACATATTGACTATTCAAAATGTTTATCCAATTTCTATTCCTACCAGTGAGATAGATATGTATGTATAAACACATACATATCTATATACTAGAGGCCAGGAGCACGAAATTCATTCATGGGTACGGTGCCTAGGTCTGGCCTGCAATCAGGGCCATCTTCCTTGGCTGCCTACAGCCAGCCCTACCCCCTGCCGCCACCCACCCCGGTTCCCCGTTTGCCATCCAGCGATCGGAGCCTGATGTCCCGGGAAGGGACTGAGAGGTTGGCCATTCCCACAAACTTGCCAGCCCCGCCCCTGCCATGGGCCCTCTGTGTGTGAGGCGACTGGTGGGGTGGGGCCTTGGCCTGGCACCACCCGAGTACCCCACCACCCACCCCCGGTTCCCCGTTTGCCATCGGGCAATCGGAGCCTGCTGGCCGGGGAAAGGGACCTAGAGGTGGTCAGTGCACCTCATAGTGACTGGTTGAGCAGTCATTCTGGTCATTGCACCATTAGGGTCAGTTTGCATATTACCCTTTTATTATATAGGATGATGGCATATTTTAATGTACCCTTGCAATGCTGGTATTAAAAGTTTTACATTTTAGCCCTAACCGGTTTGGCTCAGTGGATAGAGCATCAGCCTGCAGACTGAAGGGTCCCGGGTTTGATTCCGGTCAAGGGCTTGTACCTTGGTTGCAGGCACATCCCCAGTAGTGGGTGTGCAGGAGGCAGCTGATCCATGTTTCTCTCTCATCGATGTTTCTAACTCTCTATCCCTCTCCCTTCCTCTCTGTAAAAAATCAATAATATATATTTTTTAAAAAAGTTTTACATTTTAGTTTACTGAATAGTAAAAATATCTCACTTTTGTTTTTAATTGCATTCCTTTGACTACTGGTGATTATTATAAGTGAGATATTTTTATCATAGTTTATTACCTTAAGTCTCATATTTTATGTCTAATGCCTATTTTTGTGTTGATATATTTATAATTTTCAAAGTGATTTATAAGAACTGATACATATAAGATTATTTTTATATTGTATATTACTACCATATAATATTATACTATATGACTTACAGATACTTCAGCCATTCTAAAGTATGCCAATTTATTAAGTATAAATTTAAAACATAAACTTTCTTCTATGTTTCATAAATCATTAATTAAAATAATTCTATATACCTGAAACTAATACATAATAATATTCATTGTAAACTGTAATTAAAAACAATTAATAAAAATTAAAAGAAAAGAAAACTAGAATCCAAAGTGGCTGGTAAATAGTAACTATATTAAGCAGTACTGTCATATTGAATCTGCTCTGAAATACACCAATCTTATTTTTGCTTTTCTTGAGTAATTGGTGATATAATTGAAGTATTCCATGAAACTGTCTCCTTAAGCTTTTTTTTAAAGTTTTACCAAACTACCCTTCTAACTCAATTTCTTATAGATAAAATATATTTTTTAAATGCAGATTCTTCTTTTAAAAGTAAAACCAGTAATACCATAATGAATTAATCCTCTTTATCTATAATACAAGGAACATTGATGATAACAAACTATTCAGTACCTATACATGGAGCAGGGAATACTAAAAGAGAGTAGGTGATTCAATGTAAGTTGAATTACAATGTTTATTTATATACAACTTATATCAAAATTTCACATAATTTTAAAAATATATCAACAAGCTTTCAGAGAAAGCTAAGGCTCAATTGTTTTATAAACAGAAGTATGTTATAAACCTCACAATTGCTAACATTGGGATCTTTAGTTTTAATATCTAGATTTCTTCTAAAATTTAAATCATTTTACACAAATGACAATGGAAGGTTTTCCCCTGGGACATCAAGGAGGCATAACTTACCACATCCCGAAACACAACGGCACGCAGGCGATTAATATCGACATCCTGAAGAAGTCTATCAGGGTCCTTAATAGGAGAAAGGTTACCTGGAACATTTTCTAATGAATTCTAAAAAAAAAGATACCCAATTGTAAAAACATAATAGCACAATACATAAATTTATGTAGTAGTATAATTTCTCTAATTTAGGCATCAAATTATCCATGTTCTTTAACTCCTCATCACTGGATAAAATTTAATGACAACAATACTCTATTATAAGACTCATTTTCTGTTCTCCTGTATCTTGTTGATTTCCTTTCCTAGTATTCTTGTTTTTTATTACCAGAGCTACCAAGATAGACTTAGAAAAATGGGTAAGATTGTGGAAGAAAAGACTGATTTTGGACTTCAGAAAATCTGGGCTCTAAATTTCTGCTGTGTGACCTTGAGCTTATTACTAAAATTTATTGGGCCTCAATCCCTACCTCTAGTTAATAAATCTCTTTGAGTCACTGGGTTTCATTTAACCATCATGCTTTTTATATAAAACTAGAGGCCCAATGCATGGATTCATGCACATTGAAAGGAAATTAATTAGAAGGAGGCCGGTGGGGCAGGACTGGGTGAGACAGGCTGGACACTCCCTGGAGTCTACCTCCCTTGGTCCCTCCCCAGCCAGCTGCACCTGGGGCAGCACCAGGGCTCGAAGGATGTCTGTGGAGTGAGTGGGGTCCCTCCAGCAGGTGGAGTCCTTCGGCCTGGCCTGCAGGGGATCAGACCGAAACCAGCAGTCTGACATCCCCTGAGGGGTCCCAGAGTGCAAGAGAGCATTCTGCAAAGTTACTGTTGAGCAGCAACTCCTGCATTGAGTGTTGCCCCCTTGTGGTCAGTGCACATCATATCTACCAGCCAGTCAGCCGGTCGCTTAGCCTTTTATATATATAGATTATTATGTTACATTATTATGTGAGATTTTATTTGTGTGACCATTTCATGAGCTACACAAGTTAGAAAAAGGTAAACTGAAAAAATACAAACATAGCCTTAATATTAAAGCTGAAAGACATTAAAGGTTATTACCATCAAAATGCTTTTTATACATGAAGATACAAAAATTGACAAATTATTTGTAATGTCTCACAGCAAACTAATAACAGAGTCAAGTTTCCTGAAACTCAATCTAGTACTTCTTCACTTACACACACAACATATTAAGAACTGTATGGACACAATATGTTAAGAATTGCATGAATTAGTTGATTAGAGGGTCATCCTGATATGCAAGGTTGTGAGTTCAATTCCCCAAGGTTGTGGGGTTTAATACCTGGTCAGGCCATATATAAGAAGCAACCGATGAATGCATACATGAGTGGAACAACAAATAGATATCTTTCTCCTCTCTCTCTCTCTTTTTTTCTCTCTCCTCTACCCCCTCCATCTCAAATCAGTAAATAATTTTTAATTGCATGAATTAAACTAGGTAATATATGTAATGTACAGAATATAATTCCTATAAATAAAATAACTTGCTGTTATTATGATTAAAAATAAATAGGCCTCTTTCTAATTCTCTATAGACCTCAATTATGATATTTTGTTCCAAAAATTAAGATGATTTCCACTGTAGCACAGGACAGTAAAAAGAGCATAGTATTTGAAGGTTGATAGTTATTTGGTTTACATTATAATTCCAAAACTTACCAGCAATATAACCTCAGGTGAGATATTAACCTCTATAAACCTCAGTGATTTAATTTAAATAATAGGCTAACAATATTTATCAAAAGACAAAAAAAATGCATTGACAGCATAAAAGAAAAGTACATAATTTATGGCAAAAATGAAGAAATTACATTTTAATTTATAAACCATTTTACAAAATGTTTCTATATCGATAATGTAATTTAATCCTTATAAAGGCATATGTAATACCTTAATCAATAAAGAAAAAAAAAAAGCTTGTATCATCCCTCCTTTTTAGAAAGTATAAAAAATGAGACCCGTACAAATCCACACAGGTTAGTGCCACACCCAAATTAACTAAGGTGTTTCCTTATTAAAGTAGCACATAAAAATGCATAAAAGCAGGGAACTGGAGACATGGAAGCATGGAACAGAGTGCAGAATCTCAGAGGGAAGGCGGGGGAGGGGGGTGGGTGGGAGATAATCAACCGAAGACCTTGTACACATAT